ACACCAATCGTGGTCGACACACAAGCATCCGACGTCCCAGAGCTATCCGAATCAAGATACTGATGCATCTCGTACACGATCTTATTCTGCGGATCCGTCAACGCCTTCATGTTATCGTTGACAGTCGTCCACGACCACGCCCCGGACCACTGGTTCCCCTCCACAAAGATGTACTGCGTCGCCCCCGCGGCGCGGATGCCGTTGATCGCCGCCTGGTTGAGGTTGAGCACCAGCGTCTGGTCCATCGTGTTGTACTCGTTGTTCGTGTCGAAGATCACGTGGTCGTTGCCCTTGAACTGCGTCGCGAAGTTCTTCCACCACGTCTGGAAGCCCGCCGTGTCGGTGATGATGGCGTCGTTGAAGCGCCCGTAGTTGTGCGGGTCCAGAACGGCCCAGCCACCGCTGGAAGTGATGTGGTTGATCACGGCGGTGTAGTTCGCGAGGTAGGCGGTGTTGAAGGCGCCGGTCAGGCCGGATGGGGTCAGGCGTTCCATCTTGAACTGCACGCGGAAGGTGTTGTAGCCCTGCCCGCGGAGGGTCTACTCGCTTTGTCAGTATACGGGTGTGGCTGATCTGTAAGTTGAAGACTACTTACGGTGATGGTGGCCGGGTCGGGGAAGATGAACTCCTTGCCCCATGTGCCGGGCAGCGTCTTCTCGCCAAACTCGCCGCCGGCCTCGTTGGTGCCGAGCCACCTCCAGCTGCCGGCACCGGGGGCCGCAGTGGAAGTGGGCTTGACGGAGGTAGCCAAGGTCGTCGAGGCCGGCGGGTTGCTGGAGCCGGAGCCGGGAAGGCACTGGCTGTACCACTGGTTGGAGAAGGTGCAGGTGTACCCGGAGACGCAGGTGGTCGCTCCGGTCCAGCCAGAGCCGCCGCACTGAGCGTAGGCGCCGGCTTGCGCGGCTGCTCCGCTGACGAGAGCGCCAAGGGCGATGATGGACCTCATGTTTGGCTTGGTATCGTGGTTGAACTTGAGGGATGCAGAGAGGGCAGTGTCTCGGCAGCTAGCCTTGGCTATGGTTGTTTATATATCTGGGGTACGTCGCCAAGATGCCCCTTCCCCTCTGGCCGCGCAGTCTCATGGAACCCTCCATTCCGTGGCGCCATTCCTATTCTACCATCATCTTCCCTGAACCCCCGTGGGGTCGCAGATGTCTTCCGGTTGGCCGCCGGTTCGGCAAGAACCGTCCCAATATGAACGTCTCAGGGGTATGTACCCCATCCTGTCGGCTGTTGAAGCCGTTGAACCACGGTCACGATCAGGGATCACCCTCCGGTACGACTTCTATTTCGAGTCCCGGGATATCTGGAGCCGCAGTTGTCATTGCTGGCGTGGATGAGCGGACAGGCAACGTCGGACCGGTTCGCTGGGATTAGCCCATGTGCCGGGGCCGGCAAGCAGGTGACCGCTGGCGGATGCGATCAATGGGCGGGGAGGTCATTTCCGAGAGCGGTCGAACGGGGCCGCTTTTGGGGTGAAGAACTTTAGAAGGGCGTTTTTAAGGATGTTGGTGCGTGCCGGAGTGTGAGCCTCCGAGGTTGCATCGGGCCATCGGACGGCACGTCGGGGGACACATGACTACGACTCGAGCATCACTCGGTACCGAAGATTTTTTGATTGGGCTTTGTTGGCGTTTCCACCAGTTACGTGTATGGGCGAAATGAAATCGCAGTGTTGTCAGGAAGGGCAATTTTCGGCATCAAGGGCCTTTGGTTCCTGGCGCGATTCTGCTCGGATGGAGCATAAGTGAGCAGAGGCGAGGTGAATGTCACGAGACTTGCCGAAAGGTCACAGTCTGAGCCGCCGGGACTAAGATGATCTGGTTTCGGAGTGACTCGACGTTGAAAATGCAAGCCATCGGAGAGTTCGTTTCTTGGCACTTGGGGCTGCAGTTGATGGGCGCGTCTGGTGCTACCACCCTGAATGCAGATGCCGGAGACACTCTCCCCGAGGTGTAGCAAAGCAGAATTTGAGGCTGTGAGCGTTGCACCTTGTTAACGTCTTCAAAGCGTAGCGACCCAGATCATGTAGGCTGCTGTGGCGGTTTGTCTGGGTAGTCGCTCGTAGTCACGCCTTTCAACGTTTGGCAATAGGTCAATCAACAAGTTGCGGATATTTGAAGACCCGAGGACAGATGTCAGATGGTTCTGACGGTGACTCACTGTCTACCATGTAGTCGAACAAGTCCGACATGAAGGCTCCACTCGACGAATGACTTTAAGTTCAAAAAGGCCCGCACAGTTATTGGGCCAACAGCATGGAGGTCATGTTTCCCGTAACTGGAGATATGAGCCTCATTCCGCAGATGCAGTTGCATTCTTGTCCGGATACCTGCCAGCTGTTGCAAGTAATAGTACAGATATAGACCGTACTGAAGTCCCGTGGGCCTGTATTCTACAAGTCGTCTCTATCTAGCCCGCGCTTGTAAGCTGATAACGCCCGCTCGCGACACCCCTTGTGCTCTACCATCTGCTCAGGATAACCGGCCTTCTTCGCCTGCGCCCCAGCGCCGCGACCGTACGGGTCGTGGATGGCCTTTCCTTTGACTCCTTTAAGCTCAGGCACCCACTTCCGGATGTAGTCGCCGTTAGGGTCAAACTTCTCACTCTGTAGGAGTGGGTTGAAGATGCGGAAGTACGGCTGCGGGTCAACGCCCACGCTCGCGGAGAAGCCCCAGCCGCCGTTGTTCGAGGCAAAGTCGCCGTCAATCAGGTTCTCCATGAAGTGGCGCTCGCCCATGCGCCAATCGATGAGCAGGTCTTTTGCGAGAAAGCAGGCGACGATCATGCGACATCGGTTATGCATCCAGCCCATCTCGTGCATCTGGCGCATCGCGGCGTCGATGATGGGGAAGCCCGTCTTGCCATCGCACCATGCCTTGAAGTCATCCATGTCGTAAGACCACTCGATGTTTGCGTACTCGGGCTTGAAGGGCTTGTTCATGCTGGAGGGAGCCGGTCAGCGATCATGACGTCTCTGTTCAAAGGGAGGATACTCAACGTACCACACGAAGGGCCAGTTCACCAGGACGTGCTTGTAAAAGTCTCGCCACGCCACTTCGCTGATCCACACTCGAATGCCCTCGTTGCCCGCGTCCAGCTTCTTGGTCTTGTTCCGGTCTCGCGCGTAGCGCACACACGTCCTCGAGCTGATGGTTCCACTGGCCAGGTGCACTGAGAGAGTCGAGGTCCCCGCGTCGTAGGGGATGTTGCGCTTGTTGTGATACTGGCCAACCTTTTCCTCACAGAACTTCTCCAGACGGCTCCGTGCCTCGTGCTCTCCTGGCGGGAAGAAAGCCCTGAACCGTTTCTTGTCATCGTCTTTCAAGGTCCTGCCCTCCACCTCTTCCGGGATCTCCGTGTTGAACAGCTCCCCAAACTTCTTTCGCGCGGTCGCTGGGTTTTTTGCGGGGGGGTCGTAGAGCTCTAAAAGGTCCAAGTTCTCGTGGACGTGGCGCACCCAGGCGAGGAACCAGGGAGAGTAGACGGCGTACTGTTTGCCGGATCCGCTCGTCAACTGCCCTGGCGGGACTACGCACGTATCGTGCAAGACCTCGTATGAGAGGCCCTTGTCCGCAAACATGCGGACCATCTTGGCCTCCCGTCTAAGCTCGTCCACTTCGTACTCCATGTTGGCAAACAAGTGGCTGGCTCCCCATTGGCCCATAAGCTCGGCGATTCTGTCGGGAATTCTCTTTCTCTTTTCAACGGTCTCGACATAGAGTGGGATGTCGAGTTTGGCAAGATCCTCCCTTAGGACATGCAGGGTCCTCAGCATGAAGTCAACGCGGATAGGGGCTGTGAGGTGAGCCTCGAAGTCTTGCGGGCTGATGATGTACATGGCGATCAGCGGGACCCCAGCCTCCTTGGCTTTCTCGCTGGCAAGAGACAGTGACCGATTGTCCGTCATGCGGAGATCCATCTTGAACCATTGTACCACGGCATCCTTTGGCTTGATGGCTTTGCGCGCCTTAGACGTCTCCTCCAGGGCGGCAGTCAGCTCCTCGATAGGCCGTGGGATCTCGTCGTTGATGTAGGCCCGGGCCCGGTCGTTGCTCATCTCGTGGGGATAGAACTTTCGGAGAACGATTCCATGCTTCTCGGCGTCCTTGTGGAAAGGATGCGGCTGGCGCAACGGGTCAGAAGATGCGCTGCCGTTCTGCTCTGTCTTTGTCCTCTTCCGTCCCGAGTCGCTGGGCTCGGCCGTAACCGCGGACTTGCGCTTCTGTTTGGGCGGCATTGTCGTGAGGAAATGCCTGTATCTGGTAGTAGCAAAAGTAGCCAATGGTGTAGAAGGAAGGAGAGAAGTGACAGAAGCAGAAAATGCAGCGGCTGTGAGACGCGTGTTGCTGGGCAGCAAGACGCGACAGAGGAGCATGGAGGTGGAATGACGAGGGACAGCCAGTGGGTGAAACGCGATCAATTCTAGCTTAGGTCAGGCAAGTGCGTTCGTTACATTGCAATAAACTTCCCTGAGCTCGCTGGGAGCTCCAGGAGAGGGCGATGCCATTAAGCTGGGGAAGAGCTTGCGATCGGCCGATGTCTTGTGCGTCATCATGTTCCTGAAATCGGCACATCTGGACGTGCATCTGCGCTCCCGTCGAGCTTTAGCGTCCCGGGGCCCTGGACTAGTGGGGCTTTGGGCCCAGATTCCGATCTTTTAGCGGGGCATCGTCGGAAACAGCTCTGTGACAGGTTCGGCAGAGGGCGTCTTGGGGGGCTGCTCGGTGAGGGATCTCAGATTCTCGGTAAGGGCAGGTCTGGAAGATCAGAAGGCGGTGGGTCCCGGTCAGCCTCGGTATGCATCACGTGCCGATAAGCCGCGCTGACTGACGTCTGTGGGAATCTACGATAAGCTTCTTCCGCGGTCAAGCAGGCGCCGAGGATGTGATGCCGGTTCCATTCATCCCATCTTTTCCCATTTTCAACTTTAACGACAACGAATATCCTCTTTACTTGACAACCCGCATCAACGCCTCAACCTTACGATCGACGCAAACATGGACCCGGGTCGCAGAGCTATGATTAACTCTGGGCGCAGATCCCCCAGTCGCAGAGACCGTGAACGCGAAAGAAGCATCGCCTCCCCCCGGCGCGACTCCAACAATCGCATCTCAAAGCCCTCCAATCCTCCCCCGTCTTCGAGGTCACGTCAGAATAACAACAACAACACGAGCTCGAGCTACATGACCCAGGACGAGCAGTCCCGCCAGTTTGTAGCCGACGAAGACAAGTTCGTCTTGAAACAGGCCAAGAAGAAGGCAGACATTCGGGTTCGGGAAGGCCGTGCCAAGCCAATTGATCTCCTCGCATTCAATCTGCGCTTTATCGATACCGATCGCGACGTATTCGACGACGACGATGCCGACCTGCATCTCAGCGTCCCCTCTCCAGAGGACGTCTTGCAGGGCCTCGACGAATCACAGCTGAAAGAGCTGGATTCTGACATGACGTCCTACCACACCCTCGAGACCAACGGCCGTAACCGCGAATATTGGAAGTCGTTGCAAACAATCTGTGCAGACAGGCGGCAGAAACTGAAACCCCAGGGCCCAGACGCTCGGGTCGTCAGCACAGTGTCAGACGACGTCGACAAGATCCTGCGCCCCAAGACCTACGAGCAGCTTGAGGCCCTCGAGTCCCAGATCAAGGCAAAGCTTCGCTCCAACGACGACATCGATGTCGACTACTGGGAGCAGCTTCTGCGCAGCCTGCTTGTCTGGAAGGCCAAGGCGAAGCTCAGGAAGGTGTGCGAGGCAATCAGCGAGAGCAAGGCCGACATGCTCAAGCTGCAGGATCCTGACAAGGCAAAGGCTCTGGGGCAGCAGGCCCTGCAAGCCGAGTCTATTTCCGGACCTGCAGCAGTCAGGAACATGTCATCTGAGCCTGTTAGGGCCGAAACAAAGGCAGTGTCTGTTTCATCAGCACTCCAGGGTGGCGCGCCACCAGGAACGGCTCGCTTTGCGCAGACCGGCAACGAAGACTTCTCCCAGGCTACCAAGGCTCTCTATGACCGCGAGGTCGCTCGTGGCATCGGCGAAGACGAAGAGATTTTCACGGCCGAGGAGACTGTGCCGAGTGGCTCGAAGCCCCAGTGGGCAGACAAGCACCGGCCGAGAAAGCCCAAGTACTTCAACCGTGTTCAGATGGGCTACGAATGGAACAAGTACAACCAGACTCATTACGACCACGACAACCCGCCGCCCAAGGTCGTTCAGGGCTACAAGTTCAACATCTTCTACCCTGAGCTGATCGACAAGACCAAGGCACCCACCTTCAAGATTATTCGAGAACACGGCCGGAAAAGGGGAGAGTCCTTTGCAGCTGCAGGGGAGGAGGACACGTGCCTCATCCGTTTCATTGCGGGACCTCCGTACGAAGACATTGCATTCCGAATCGTGGACAGAGAGTGGGATTACAGTGCAAAGAAGGATCGCGGCTTCAAGAGCTCTTTCGACAAGGTGAGTGTTGTGGCGTTCCCTACACTGTCTACACGTGGTGTCCCAGGCGCCCTTTCACTCCTGGCGGAGTCGTCTTGCATATGCGAGAGAGCCACAAGGGGGGATGAGGAAGGGGAGAAGGGGGAGGGGATGCTGCCAAAGAGCGCCCGCAGGACGGCGTTTCTTTTTCCAACTCCTCTTCTTTCCCTTCTAGCCCCCAACCTCCATGCAGTTGGAGGAACCGACCCTCCTTGAGCGTCCTCCTCCAATGTCGGGAGGCGCCAGGAGCGACCGTTTTCCGCCAGACCGCCATCTCCGCCCAGTGTCAACACCACCACAACAACACCATACCAGCCGCGACTATCTGACGCGCGCCTCTTTGCGCCCCTGTCACCATTCTATTATTCCATCACATTGCAACCCCATCTACCCCATTCTTGGCCTGAGCTAATCTTATCCTCCCTACAGGGCATCTTGCAGCTTCACTTTCAATTCAAGAAGGTAAGGGACAGGTCCCACTCCATTTGCGATTGTCATGTACTAACAGGCTTCGCGCAGATCTTCTATCGGAAGTAGACGCCCTCAAACGCGGGCTGCTGCTCCTGCCATCAGGCCGCATATCAGATATCATCAGAGTCATCCGGGCTGGTGCTCTGAAAAAGCGTTTGGACCGGGGCTCTTGGCCGGCCGGAAGGAAAGAGATCTATCTGGCATCAGGAGAAAACATCCGCCTCATCTTTCACGTATCCGTTGGCGCTCCCACTCTCGCTGGTACCATGTACTCCCGCCGCACGCGCTGCCTTACATACTCACGCCGACGACCGCGACTGACCGCTGCGGGCCGACCGCTGGAAAACACACAATGACGCACAAACGTACAGGCGACCATAGCTCTCGCCTTCAACTAATCAATTATCTGCTTCTCACCTCCTCGTGTTACCTCCGGAACTGGGGCATCATGCTGCCCCGGTCAAGCTTGCTGTGCCCGTCTCCTGGCCTGACTGCTGAGCCCCCCCACGATACTAAGTGCTGACATCCTGGACGACCTGATAGAATCTGAAGCACGCTGATATGGGGCATACCCGGTCTGAAGTCGGAGTACAATGGCTGCAGCAGCTGCTGATCTCCACACCATCGCAGATGAATCCACCGTCACCCTGTCACGCCTGCCCTCTCATCAGAGTTGGTGGCTCAACCCCCTTCACCGACTAGTGGAAGGGCTGAGGTTGGGGTATCATGACGAACAGCATGGCCACCATGGCGTTGGCTACACGTCCGTAAGTGCCTGCAACGATCGGTCAACCCTGTGATGCACAATGTGAAGGCAAGAAAACTCGAAACAAATCTCACAGCACGAGCGGCGGCATCTCGGCCCACGCGGGATTGGCGTCCACGGCTTCATATCGTCTGTTCTAAATCTGTTTCGATTCCGCTCTTCCCGCGGACTTCTAGAATGTGTGAATGATCTACAGGATGCGAGTAGGTGTCAGAGGAGCGATCTTGCGGTCGCCTTGCAACCCCTTCTGGGCTGGCACGCTCACCATTGTGAGGCATCGCTCATGGCACAATGGCAGTGATTGGCCGTCTCGCCAAAGACCATGCACGCTTCCGAAGGGGAAATGCTGCCTTCCGGCCTACTGCCCTTCTCCTGGATGCTCACATTTGGCTGGCTAGTTGGCTGGCCTCACTCCAGTTTTGGCAATGACATGCATCGTCTGGTCAAACTGTACCGGTGTACAATGCTTTTGTCATCTTCTGGTAGCTACTCACATCGGCCTAGGGTGGATGTGTGCAACAATCTCTCTGACGGCCCTCGCCTGGTGTTAGCCAGAGCCAGAGCCCGCGGCATGTCAGTGACTTGCCGTTGGTCTTTCGCGGCATTCTCCACTCGCACCCAAGTTGCGTGCGAAGGCCAAATGCTCTGCCCGCCGTGTGCATCATTGTGGTCACTGGAGTAGACCTCCGCTCCTGCTATCAAATCTGGCGTTGCACGCAGACGCCCTGGATCATGGGTCGACAAGCTAACGAATGGGCTTACACTTGGTGGCGTTGTTAGCCCCAACGGCCGGAGGAGACCCTCGCGGGAGAGGATATGGAGAGAGGAGAAAAGACAAAGAAGGAATGAGGTGCCTAGAAGAGCTCTGCTAGGCATGTCCCTGCTAGCCAGGAGATACCTAACCTTGACATGGCTGCCATGGCAGGCAGGGCAGGCGGCGAGACTCGCCCAGCTCCCCAGACGTAGCCGAGCCTCTTCAACCGGCACCAGGCTCCAGCAGCCAAAGAATAATGAAATTCGACCATCCCTGCTCGATGTCACTAACAACAAGATGTCGCAGAAGCGGCAGCGGCAGCAGCAGCCACAACCAAGCCCCGATTCTCCGTTTGTATCAGTCACATAGACGCAGATTGGCTGCGGCGGATCAGTGCAGCTCGCAGACCTTGATGGCGCCTCTCGTCTAGTTGACACACATACAGCCATACACACACTAGAGCAAGCAGACATGAGCAGCAAGAAGAGCACACACTACATCAACATCGACGCACACAAGCATACAGGCACCACACACATAGACACACACACACATGGCCGCGGCAACGGGAAGGGACGCTAATCCAGACCAAGCCATGAGCTGGCAGGCGGGCTGCTATCCCCCCGATATCCACATGGCTGTTGGATGCTGGCACCCCTGTCCAACCCCTGTTCTTATTCCTCCACGCCCCCTCTACTTCGGTACCTCTATCGTGTACCTAGCTTTGTCCTTGTACCTGGTCGACATTGCCAAAAGAGCGACCTACATTTGTCTGCACAACACGACCGTGGGCATTTGGACGAACATCTCCCTCTAGGCTCAGGTTTTATCAAGAAGGGTCAGCGACCCATGTCGAGGCCCTCTCTCATCAACTGTCAATGCCTACACCTCCAAGACCAACATCACTGGTCTCATAGCATTAATACCTCTCGTCGTCTCCCTCTACATCGGCACCGCGACCTCGACAGCATTCTTTATCTGATATCATACCTCAGCACCTCGTTGCATGCCCTCGTCATTGTGATTAGACACCTCGACCTCGCTCCTTCACCAGTACAACAACGACCTGTTTCTGCAACGTCTTTTACCCTTCCGTTCACTCCTTGAAACTCCATCGCGGCAAACAACCCTTCTCGTTTCAGTTCATCGCTCTCACCGTCTCTGCAATGACGGCGACGAACGCTCCCACCGCGCAGATGGAAGCCATGTCCGTTCACGAGGGCCTCAACCACCCCGGCCAGTCTCCAGAGCCTCTGTCTATCAGGACAGACATCGCTAGGAATTATTACCCCATGATTCCCAAGCCCACAATCAACGGTCCTCCACAATCATACTACCCCCAACCGCAGCTCTCAGCCCTCAACCAGCCCTTTCACTCACCAGCCATGAGCCAACCTACGATGTGGGCTTCTCCTCGTTCCTCCGTGGACGACTTTGACAACTACTCCTACCGCGCTCCGGCTCCTACATCCAACTACCAGGCCGCCTCTCTCTCGCCGCGCACCTGGCCCGACTCCGTGCAGACGCCTCCTCCTCAGTACGAGGTTCCCTTCCACCACCAGGAGCAATATGACGGCCTCCCCAACGGCCACATGGGCATGTCCCCTGAGGCACTTCGCGACTCCTCCCTCAACATTGCCGTTGACTACGGGAACAACAGTTGCTTCCAACAGACCCTCACAGGACCCCACGACATCACACCGATGAAGTACGGCTCACCTCCCCCAATGACCACGACCTGCGCTCCCTTTGTTGCGTCCCCGGCTTCCCTCCAGGACCAGTTCAAGACAGAAAACCACCCGAGCATGAGTCCGAGCCCAACGCCTTCGGTCTCTGGTCAAAAACCCCAAGCCGCGAGAACCCCTACCAACAGCGGCTGCGGCGATGTTGAAAGTAACGCAAAGTTGAACGAAAAGCGCGAGACCAACGAGCCCTATGCCCAGCTCATCTGGAAGGCTCTCAAGTCCCAGCCCGATCGCTGCATGACTCTTCAACAGCTCTACCAGTGGTTCCTCAAGAACACCGACAAGCCAGAGAAGGCCGGCGGCGACGGCTGGCACAACAGCATTCGGCACAACCTCAGCATGAACTTTGTAAGTTCTCTCCTTCTCTCTCATCTGCATGCAGGGGTGTTCTCCAAGTAGCGCTGCATCAAGGCCCACCTTATCGATCCTTTGCAAAAAATGACCACTGCATAGACTAACACGTCATCCAGGCCTTTGAGAGAATGGAAGAGCTGCCCACGCACGAAATCACCGGCTCCTCAAGCGAACGTATCCCTTCAAAGTGGCATCTCAAGCCCGACTTTGAAAACGGCGTTAGGCCAACCACCCACTACCGCGAGCACCCCCGCAACCCCAACGGCGGTGCCAGGCGCCGCAACACCGACCCCAACCGCCGCCGCGTCGCCAGGACTGCCACCTACCACTCCTCCCCGGAATTCCCAGACCGCACGATGCCCGGCCGCGCCCTCTCTGGACGCCGCGGTGGCCGCGCGACAACCAACGCCCGCGCCGCCGCCAGGGACCTCCGCATCAACACCAGGCTCGCAGAGCACGCTCAGGGTCCCTGGGTTCCCGGCCACAGCTTCGCCGCCGCGCAGATTGAGATTGTGAACCAGCAGGCAGAAGAGAGGAGACGACGCAACCGCGACGCCTCGGCCCGGTTCCACATGCACGCCGCTGAGCGCGAGGCCGAGCTGGCAGCGCAGCAGCAGCAGCAGCAGCAGCAGCAACACCAGCACCACCAGCAACACCAGCCGCCTTACAACTTTGCAGCCGCGCACTACGCCATGAACAACATCGCCGGTGTCTACCAGCACCCCCAACACGCCGCCGCCCCGCAGCACTCTTCCCAGCCCCAGCAGCAGTCCCAGCCGGGGCAGAGCGACAACGTCCTCTACGGCTGGGGAAGCAGCAACGCCAACCAGGGGATGTGAGCGAGCACTTACCTCCCCCCGTTGCTTCTTCCAACATGCATGAGCTCGCCACGCGAGGTGAAGCAGGGTTCTTTGGCCCGTCACTGCTTCTACTGCTGCGTTCGTCTCCCTCATTCATTGTTTCTTTTTCCTTCTTGATGTCACCGCGGCGGTTGGGACCCTGCGGACTGCTACCACTTCCTCTTTGGGCGGCGTTTAGGAGACAACAGGGGTATTTGGGTTGGGTGGGTGTTGCTTTTTTTTTTTCATGTACGGGTGTGTGTGTGTTTCCCTCTTCTCTCTCCATG